CGCACGCGCCATCCCCTTCATCTGAAGGCTCGTGTAAACGCGGCAGGTGGCAGATCTCAATTCTATTCTGGAATTACTTTGAGATAAGAGTTACAAACACTTCCCTGAAGTTTGTTTGTTCCATCAAGCTACTATGCGTTTTTAACGACACAATGTCTTGGTCCTCATAATTTTGGACCACCCTGTATATCATCTGAACAATGACTTGTGTCAGCCAATCTATGCTCATTTCAGTACTATGAGTCCTCTCGAGTAGCCTCTCCAATCAATTAATATAACATAAAAACATTAAAATCTATTTCTTGTACACATGGAATGAATATCAGTGACATTTGCCTATGCTGTTAAAAACAAGGATAATGGTTAGGACAAACATTTTTGGTTTCTTTCTGCACAGTTGAGCTTTTTGTTACTTCGTTCTGACTAAAATTCTTGTGTGCATGTTTCTACCACAACTGACGGCATTTCTTTTCAACGTAATTATTGTAAATAAATACACAAATAAATGAGCAAAAATACAAAACACGTGGATACGAAGATTTCTTGGATGTCCTTAAATTAGCAAACTAGAGTTTTTGTTAGCCATTATAAGAACACCATTAACATTAACCTATAATCTATCTATGAGTGCGCCCAGACTCTTTTTAGACGCCCGTAAATCTTCCACGAGTTCAAGGACACATTGCTTCTTTAACTAACATTCTAAAAATTTTCGGAAAAGTTTTACACTGATCATCAATGAATGGCAATAGCATCATTTACGACCCAACCTTTTTCTCTCGAATATCCACATTGTAGGAGTTAGCGATATCTGAACTCTATTCTGTCACTCCGAGTTTTTTTTTTCGACCACACCCTCTTCTTGACCGAGAAACTAGCGGGTACAGTCCTAACGAGATTGCATGCTGCGGACGATGCAAATTAAAGCAACACTACGCCGCGACACAACAATTCAGCCGAAATGTCATTTAAAGGTGAACAGAATCACGCCATAAAGATGCGATCCATTTTGGACTGTAGGTATGACAGCCCTTTAATCATATGAAGAGCAGCATAGGGCTAATACGATCCATATACCATGAACCAGATAGAAAACAGTAGCAGAAGGGAAGTGGAAAACAGATGCCATAAATAAGATTGAAAGTCGATTGAAAAGATGGGATGGGGCAAGAAAAAATAGAAAACTGGAATGAAAAGCAAACAGTGGATCCTCCTGAGTTCTTACCATTTTGCGAGTACAATAAGGAGGACACCAACTTTCGAAACCACAACTTGACTTCATTTCGATAAGAGAAACATCTAATTGGACAATAAAAAGAAACCATTACTCACCATCAGTCACCTCGGCTTTCGCTTTGTGCTCCGACTTCGCTCGTGTCGCCGCTAACAGCCATTCCATGGTCAAGTCTAGAATGCGTTCGGCCTTCGGCCCTTTTTCGTCCACCCATGGTATATAGGCCGGATTCACTGCAATGGGCGTATAAACTTGGTGGAGGAAACTCCTCCAATAGCAACAGACATTGATATGTTCTTTTTTCGCTTTAAACCATTATGGAAAAAATGCAAATCCCTGACCACTCTAATTTATCAAATTATTTCAGAAAGGTTTCTCAAAGCCGCAAATTATCTAGAACCTGCATGGTTTCTGCTTGCCATAGTATTTCCACTTGCAAGAACACAAATCCCATTCATGACCGGTTTCCTAGCCGATGGCGACGCATAGAACAGAACCTACACATTAGATACAATCAGAGAAGACCACTTTGCGATGCGTTCGATGATCAAATAGTGCATGCAGACAGTAGCAAAAGAAACCAGATAAACCAGTATCGTTCACAGTAGCACCCCATCTTGATCGTTTGAATTGGTATATGATATCCAAAGGGAGTAGGTTGCACCAAGTCTATCATAGGTAAAAAAAATAGCTGTAGCTACCACGAGAATTGACACGCTAAATCAGTTTTTTTCTGAGGCTCCGTAATAACTTCGTATAAATATATTTTGGTCATAAAACCCAGTACCATCCTATTCCACCGACACATTTTCCCACCATACGTCGCTACATAAAAAGTTTACAGTTTCTGTGTACGCCTGCATAATGGGCGAGTTCTTCCGTGTGCGTAAGAAAGGCAGGTGCACTTCGAGGTATTTTGAAGGCAGGCGAGACGATAAATTGGTTGTTGAAGAAGGATAAATGCGCCCTCTATGAAGAAAGAATAGGCCAGGGACCGAGACGTGGAGCTTTTCGCCCTTAGTGGTCTAGTAAAGCCTTGCCGCCGCTTTTCGTGGGAGAACCCCGCCTCCTGATAACATAAGCGTGCCGGGTGTTGGAAGGGCCCTTCACTCAAAATAGTCGAACCATTAAGTTTGTCTATCCGGTGTGATATTGAACAAAGTTTGATGGTCGCATGATAAAGGCTACTGGAATCGGAAGGTCCGGACAAATTCTTTTTAAAAAGCTGGCCTTCCAAAATGAAAGTCGAAGAGCAGAGGGAGGCTCTCTCTTCCCCATCCTCTTACCAGGGAGGTAGTGCCGCTTTTCAAAACGGGTTTCTTGCATGAAATAGGAGCAGACGCAGGGATCATAGAACAATGATTCATTTTTCCTGAACGACCTCCTGAATGCCAAAAACGGGATGCTGGAGTGGTCCGTGGTTCAATTGCTCGTGGTGACATATTTTGAATTTCGAGACAGCGTTTCAAAATTTGCGCAAAATGCCGTCAGCGCCAAGAATAGATGTCATGTTCAACCCTCACAAATAGCTTTGAGCAAAAAATTGGCAATGGAATTTGTGTGACACCAAAACGGCACAAATGTAGCACCTAATGGCGTCGTAGCGGGACTATATGACGTCCGCGCCAAAAACGAATGTCATATCTGTAATTAGGGCGAGGAGACAACACCTATAACTGAATTCAGACAACTTGAAACCTAACGAACACCAAGCCAGCGATTTTGTGGAATGTCCTGTGCAGAAGACTCCATCAAATACACATCAACTCACCTGCAAGCGTATGTGCCACAAATTGCAAGGCAAGTGGACGTAACGAACTTTCAGCCGACATCAGAGACTGCTTCGTATCCGTGATACGTCCTTGACTCACGCTTTCGGCAGTTTTTGGAGAAATCTAAAGTGAATTTTTAGAAAAAGTTGAGACTATGACGAATACGTCCAAATAATTCATACTGAAGCGATATAGCTCGCGACAATAGAAACCTTTTTACTGCTGGAAAGAAATTACAGATTTCGATGGTCTAGACTGACGACAGGCTCCCCCGAGCAGAGTTTACTGTGGAAAGAAAGTCAACGTCTAATACTAATCTAACTCTAAACTGGTGATTAAATGCTACAACCAAAATGAAAATTGTACAACACACTTTTAGACCTATTCGTGCTAAATGCAGTGATATTTTCTAAAAATAAAAAGAAGCAAAGGTTCGATGCTCTCAAAGATTCCTTTCCAAAAAGAATTTCTTTGCAGTTTTCCACAAAGTTGGGGAAACGGTTTCAAAAAAGGTCCTAGGCGTAAAAAAAAGCGAAGGCAAGCTACAAATTTGGAAGCTGACCAGAGAGTCCAACAAACAATGAAATCAAATTAGTGGAGATGAACTACAATTGAACACACCTGATCGTTTGTATGACGGCTTGCACTGGCGGAGCTCATAGGATGTGAATGTTGTGAATGCTGTGAAGCACTCATATTCGTCCCACTGTGATCGTCATTTACGCGGTCTAGAAATATCAAATATTTAGTTGGAAGTGTCATTTGAACAAGTGTTCAGAGAGTCCTAGGTGAGGATCCGATTCTATACTTGCCACTTTTCGAGCCAGAGAAGGAATGGTTAGATTTGAGGCGGATAAAGCATTCGATTCGGTCGCCTCATACCCGTTCTTGGATCCGCCACGCACTCCACTTCCACTCAGCATCGTAGTGGCAATTCGAATAATGAGTTGTGGCCTTACAATGAGTTGCGGAGAACAGCCGATGTACAAGCGAGAGTTTTTATCCTCCCAGACAAAGTCTTGGTACAGTTAACCATGGGAACTTGCTTGGCGCGGACGACCCAAGCTTTGATCGCGCGCGTGGTAAGAAGTGCCACCTGCCACTATGTCACTTCCGTATAATGTAATGGAAGGAATGTAGCAAGCAAAAATTAACCGAGGATGCTCAAAGCTAATTCATTTCTAAGAATTGCATACCTGACTGTTTCGTTCGCACTGAACGTTTCGTCATATCCGACATGCTGCGACCTTCTTTAGCACTCGTTGAAGAAGAAAAAGAACCACGTGAATCATGTGTTAAGGTACCGTCAGTATCACGAGTGTCTCGAGATGCTCCTGTAGAATCGGTCACCGTACTTGCCTTTTCACGCTGAAAAAAATAGCACAAAGCCGTGATGTAGTAGAACATGGAGAAAAGCACATTACAACAACTTTGAACTCACAGTAAATTCACTACGAGGACGACTACCAGTCATTTCAGATGCAAGAGACGGGGTCGGCGTCGCCATTGTCCACTTTTGCACAAGAATACCAGATTCTTTGAATTCAATAGGCACAAAGCTGTCACCTTGAGTAAGAAACGATGTTATTGTCTTGAGGATTTCATCGCTATTGTTCTTAGTAGTAAAGCAAAAAGTAATCACCATAAAACACATCAACCATCCTTTGTAATGCTGTAGCCGCTAGAAAGAAACACAAAGGCAGTGATACAGGCGGCTGCACTTCTACAGTTCCGTCGTACTCCGAAACGCCTCCATCTAAATGTACCACCCTTTACAATGCAGAACTATTCATATCGAAATCTGGAATCACTCTTACTCACTGATAGGCTTGTTCTGCATGACATCGTGAGAAAGGATGTCCGCTGGTGAATCCAGCAAGCAAAACAAATTGAACCTACAAGTTTATTTGAAGCAAATATCGCACTGCACAAAGCAAACAATACAAAGAAAACTACGAAACATTTACTCAATACTCTCAGTCAGCACACACCTAATTCTGCTTACAATCAAATCTGTAGTTCGGATTTATAATATCATGCACTCTAAAAACCAAATTATAGTGGGACTCACCAACTATGATAGAGCAAATCAACTTCGCCGTCCTCTTCAACAGGTGGCAAAAATGCAAACGGAGTGATGCTTTCGTCGTCTAGAGGTAAAGGTGATTATCATAATCACATTGGTGAATCGTGATCCTACACACTATAATGCGCTTCGTCTGGCGGTATGTCGGACTGTCACGGTGTCCGTCATGAGATTGAATACTAATGGAGAGACTTGGAGAAACTGAGTAAAGTGTGGCATAGGTGGGTCATGTCCCAAGAGGTATGAAACGCACACCAGAGCGGTAGCGGAGCCCCGCCCACAGTACGTGGCGTGCATTACTGACGACGAACATTTCATGACTTCAAAACACTGATTTGATTCCAAACACTTAGGCCGATGTCAGACTTTGCGAATCGCGCGATTCGCTACTAGCGATTCGCGCGATTCGCTAGCGTCCGCGGTCGCGTTGCGGTACCAGCCAATTGAGTGATTCACTGGCCGCGACGCGACCGCAGACGCTAGCGAATCGCGCGATTCGCAAAGTCTGACATCGGCCTTACGAATAACTGATATAACAGATTAAATTGGCGAGTCCTCTTTCAGAGGGCTCCCCTTAAAAGTTGTCAAAGTAAAAAGTCCAAACTAAATAATACCTTTGATAGCGGGAAAAGTAGGGACAGCGGTCCAACAAGAGGGAGTTAATGTTAATTAGTCTGGTAGCAAAGGAGCGGAAGTTCTGCTATCACGACGAACTTGCTTCATTAAGTCCCGAAAACCGAGATAAAAGGCGAACCAAGATTCGAAGCCGAGAGAAGGCAAATGCTATCTTGCGGAATGAGACGTGCAACTAAAAGGGTGCATTTGCTACAATCACGTCTGGTTCAAAGCCAATTCTCAATCTTTCAGAGCCGAAGCAAAAACAGGTGGGAGGTTAGAGAGGAACGAAAGGTCAAATGCTATTGATGGGCGGGGCATGCAAAGAAATGATAGACCTAGCTATAAAACTTGTAAAACGATCAAGAGGATGCAAAAAGCATACACTGGCTGGAGAAGAAGGGAAAGTCAAAAGCCGCCTCGGATGCTGGTGGAATATTATCGGGGGCCGCGCTTAATTCAAAACTGCCACTGGGTCGAGGGGATGGATAGAATCCAGCATGAAAGGGCAACTCAAATGTTCGTGATATATCAGGTTAAATTCGTGAATTCTTGCCGTACCCGTTTTTTTATCGCCGTTAGGATTGTGTTGTGCAACAACGTGCGGCGCCAACCAGTTATAATAACACTCACGTATTGCAATTTTACAGTAATCCTCGCCATACATCTTACGACACACCAAAACAGTCATTGCCAGAAGTTTCCGTGCCCAAGATTCTATGACGGTGACCTGAACAAATGAATGACTTGATCCTGCTTTTCTAGCAAAACTACAACCCGAACTTATTCAGACGATAGCTCAATGCGTAGCTAACAAAGGTAATGGAGTAAAAACACATAAAATTAAAGCTCAATGATAACTTACATGATGACGCCATCGTCGACATAAAGCTGCCAGTGTACGCCAGTATGTGGGTGAAGGGATCTCTTCGTTAAGTACCGCATGAACAAAATCACACAAAGTGTATCAACAACTCTTACCCGACATCCAATTCCCCCAGTTTCTTCTGCAACACAGATTCGATAAAATGTCACACCTCGAAGTTAAACCATCCTGCCTCGAGAGAAATCCAATCACAAGTTCGTGGTTCGGACATGTATCGATACGTTCACCAAACACAAACAAACCTGGAAAAAGCGGGTCGGCTAGGAGGAGATCCGCCGAATTAAGTAGAAAGCTAAGTATGCGAGCCCATACCTGAAAGTTGGTTGAAACTAAAAGTGAGTTCTCCAGCCTGAGAGCTTATACCGCTAAAAGATTGCGTGCCCCATATCCTATCACCTCAATTCCTTTCCCTGCCAGCCATTTCTAATTTTTGACCACCGACTTCGTGCAAGCAACAAATATGTACCTCATTTTGGTATTTTCTACTTGCCGTTAGCGTCAACTCGCGCACGGCATCCAAGACTGTTTCTACTTCACGAGCTTGCCGTTCAATCGCTAAACCTCGTGGAACCTGGAACGATGTAATCTCACGAGGTTGGGTGTTTGAACCCAGTGAATGGGCAAAAAAAGTTCATTTTGGAGCTGTGAAATATATGGCAGCTGTTCAAACCTTGCCCATTAAACAAAACCAATGCAAATTCACTCGATAGCGCCCTAAAGACGAACCTCTCCTTTGATATCAATCCGACGACAGAACAGATTGCGGAGAGCATCAATTATACTCCTGTAAACTGACAATGAATTAAAACTTGCACATTTGAAATACAAAACTTTCTTGACAAATGTTTCAAAAGTATGCTGGGTTGTGAACAAAACTTTCGCCCCAGGGGGACGAGAACCCGCATCTCCGCGACCTACATTGAAATGCAAATCCCCATTCTACATGAAATACATCTCTATTCAACGCAAATTTTTTGGCATAGAATTCTTACTAAGTTTTCCCCAAAATAGCAGAAAGCGTTATACGATGTCATTGGGCGCCTGTGAAACTGTAGTCGCAGTATCCGTGGTCACGGTCACGTTGCTCTTACAGTTCAGTTCTGTCAACTCGAAAAACCGTGTTGGACGCTTCGTTTAAAAAACCCAGAAAGAGGGTTAGTATTTCCGACATATCAGCAGAGAAAAACAAGACGAGAGAAATCCCAGAACATACGCTAAAGCTAGAAGGAAAAGGATTCTCTAAACAGGAGAAAAGACCCTAATCTGAACTAGAAATGGCGACGTAACAACAGTGATAACACAAAATGACAGGCCGCGCTGGTTCCGATCCGCGGATAAGCGTTTTGTGATCGTGCGACTTTAGAATCGCAGGGTTGCACGATCGATCGCATTCGATTCTTACGCGTACTGCAAGAGTTCAAGCTCCGAACGCTTCTTTTAGATAACTACCTAACGATTCACTTTCTTTGCAACAATTCATCGTTCAACTCACAGTGCAGTTTTCCAGCATACACTGATAGCGTTCAACCAAAAGCATTGCCTAAAATACCATTGCTAGAAGCTCACCTAAAGTACTTTTCTGGTGTGTCCACCAATGGTGTACTGGATATCTGCCATCAGAAATCGGTTAAAGCTCGTAGCCAGTGCAGATAAATGCGTACAGCTCCACGGACCGTCTCGAATTCACGATGAGTGGTGAAGGAGAGCGTGAGCGAATAATTCAGTACCTGAACAAATATACTATCACAAAAGACCATTGCGCCATCCCGTAGGAACTGCTTTTGGTGTAAATCAATGGCTTTCTCAGAAAGAAGCTTTCGCAATCAAAATGAGTATAATACGAAAAAACCAAACAACAAGCTTACGCACTACCATTAACCCCGAAACCATCTTGTGCGACCGAGTGGAAGAGGTCCTCTCTTGACCGAAAATGAATTCAAAAGATATTCTCAGATGGAAAACAAAAGTATGGCTCGTCGAAAAGTTAACCGGAAAAGGTGATCGTATTGGTACTTCCAACTTCTTGTGAAAGCATTAAAGATCAGGACAGAGCAGCTGAACAAAGAACATCGTGCCCAATCGAGTTTTTTTGAGTAGTTGGTGTTAATGTTTGAGCTCTGCCTGAATCGATATAAAACGCTCTACTTGTAAAAACTTCAATCTGTGTTTATGAAGGATTGAAAACAGTTCAAGCAAAAGCGAGAGGTAAGAAAAGAGCGAGCCGAACGAATAGAAGCTCAATTAGAAAAAAATGTAATTCAAGACCAAAATTGATTTAGAAGCTGGAAGAAAAGAAGTATTCTTATCTATCGGATAAAAGAAATGTACATAACTGAGAAATCAAAAGGAACAAAAAAAGAAAGCATCAATCAGATCAGATACATTTCCGTGAGTCGTGACACTCCTACCAGACTATCTAAAAAACGAAAGCAATCACCTGCATACACCATCTTAACTGGTCGTCAGTCTGAAGCCTGATTGACAACTGATCATCCTCGTCGCTGATGGATCTTGTAAGCTCGGAGAGAAGCGCAGAGGACACCGATTCACTTGTTGTCCTAACAAAAGTAAGCCTTGTAGATTTGGTTTATAAATCTCATATATGAATGAAAATTGGTAGTTTTGTTCAGTGTTTCATGGTAATAAAAATAAATGAATTCAGGAATATCTCTGATAGAGTAAACTGATCTCCAGCTGTGCAAAGGTCATGGTGGGGAACAGGGTGTGGTTCACTAGGACAGAAAGCGACTTTTTCGCGTTTCGCAGCGCGAAACATTTTTCGCTGCGGGAACCTCAGGTCCACCGCTGATCATCAGTGGACCCGAGGTTCCCGCAGCGAAAAATGTTTCGCGCTGCGAAACGCGAAAAAGTCGCTTTTGTCCTAGTGAACCACACCCGAGGAACAAATCAAGGCCATGCTCTGAATGGATTTCTAGTATGTAGATCTTTTCAAAGAGACAGGTTAAATTCAAGCGATCTATTTCTTGAGGCCCTCAGCAATTACTTTCACATGGATGCAGGGAAAAATCGTTGCAATTTGAACATGCCCCCAACAATCATAGCTGAGCCTTGAAGGAGAGAACTCGTTTTATTTAGCTGGCACTAACTAATCGATACAGTGTCTAAAAGGTACAAAGCATGCTATAAAAAATTGAAAAAATGAAATTGAAAATATTTCACCTGGAGAAAAGGTCGAATATTGACTTGGTGAGGTCTGGAAACTCGAGTGTCGGCCAGTCCTCGTACATGGTGGGTGATGGCACCAACACGGCTTGTTCACCGTCACCAGTCCTGTACTCGTTCCCAGTCGGCTCAAGCACGTCCTTCAATAAGGTGATGATTTGCTCCATTTATATCGAGTAGGCTTGACAATGGTTTTGCAGACGTTAATACGCTAATCAGCGACGATCTCAGACGAGCGAGGATCAAAGCGCGATATCAAACGGCGAGCTGGGACGAGTACTTTTCACACAGTACGGAGTCGTAGTCAGTAACGAATACTACGATCGCAATGTGCGCGATCGTTGAAGAGAGACTATTGTAACCTTCAACGTCCGTTCAGCATGGCGCAGGAGACGATATCCCGCTGCGATTCACGCGGTGCACTCACTCAAAACAATACTTCCACTCAGTTCGAGGATCTAATCATATATACCCATCACTAAAGCCTAACTTCATTATCAGGTGACATCAATTTTTCTTGATGTGAAACATTACACTATCATCACCTCTCACAACAAGGCCGTAAAAAATGGCGATTTTTGATTATACAATAGCCAAAAATGACATGGTTATGTGTACACTTGTGTGTATAAGAACTTGACTTCGGGAGCATTTTATTATGCGTTGAAGAAGCAGACTGCTCGGGCGGAATAACTGGGGTCCCCCCAAAGGAAGAGAGCGGTGTCTCGTGGAGTCTATGCCTGGTGGATAATTCGAAGTTGCTACATGAATCACTGAACCCACAGGACATTAATCCTATAAAACTGACTAACGCGCGTGAAGGTGTCTCAGGTGCCAAATTCTGCGAAGGTGCACTATGTTTCCCGCGCAGTTGGAATTGCCGTATGAGGACATAAGGAAAGATCCCCCAATACCAAGAAATCATACTTAGAGATCTTCACGGAGAGTGATCATTTTGTCTTGTGTGTAGGATTAGTATTATCGAAACTAACGCTTATGTTCCGTTCTTTTTGCTATGCTCATGAGGCTAGGGGCCTAAGGTATCGTTTTTCTGTGGTAATGGAGGCGGAGCTTTTTCCGTGGAAGATTCCTTTAATATCACACTTGACGACTGGGATGAAAAAACGCGACGTTACGTATGTTTTTGAAAAGACATGGTACTATCGGATGCAACGTGTTTCCGGACAAAAGAAAAAGATTGGACAGAGGAGCCAAAACCAAAGCTAATTCTACGCATGCAACTCTGGCCGTTGCATACAGGCTGAATATGGGCCTCTATGCAGCATGAGGACAGCGAGTGTGTGGTTGAAGGGTGGTCAGCCTAAGTTCAGCTGATCAAATGATGGTCACTATGCCCAAAAATCGAGAGCGACAAACACCGCCTGACGAGATACACAAAACGGCGGCTCGAGTGGCTTCACCTCCGCCAATCCTAGTTCCGGGTGTTCTCCAAGATTGAAGTTCAACAAGGTTGCAACTGTACCGAGATGTTCTACGTTTCTCACAACTTTCCTCCAACCCTTCACCCGAGCTATCGCACCATCTCCACCTCAGGTAGAGTAGTCTTCCTGGTGTAGTTGTCAGGCTCGATTCCCGAAATTGTGTTTGGGAAATACTTTGTTACAAAGCATGACACCAATCCATGATTCTTCGAGATTTGAGCGAAACATTTTATAACTGTAGCTATATGTTCACCTCGTCCACAACTTTTTGATCTGCTTTTTTACTGATTTGCATTCCGGTCTCAAGAGCTACACCTCTCAAAAATGTATCTGATAGAGTGACGTAGCAGTTGTTTTCAGCATCGAACCGCGTAGTCACAGCAGAGTAAACAAAAGGAATTGATTACGGATAAATAAAGGCCGGCTTGAAGTGTGGAGGATACTGTGAGTTGTAATACTAGATCCCAACTGAACTTAAAAAAGTGAGCGGAAGGATCGAGGACGTGTGAATTCATAACAGATCTTGCAGGGGGACGGAGCATTAGCATGAACTTTCAATGCGCCGTACAACTAACATTTCGCGCAAACTCTTTCACGCCTAGCAGAAGATTCTCTACTTTAGGCGAGAAGTGAAGAACATGGTCACAAAAAGAGCAAGACACTCATTCAGATGAGATTGTTTCAAGTGGAGGTTTAGGAGGAGCTCGCCAAAACCGACAGCAACGTGGGTAATGAAAGGGTGCAAAATGGCTAAATCGAAGATGACTTCTGAGGAGCAGAGCTGAGAAAACTTGCAAATATTCACGCCGCCCCCCGGGATAAAACCCACCAACAGCCCTGCAGTGCGTACCCGATTACCTCAACGAAAGCTGGAAATTTTAGTTTCTTCGGAGTCAACCATCGCCTCTACTGTATCCGGTAAGAAATTCCTGCAATGAAAATTGATCACGCAGGCGTGACGGTATATTTGCAACCTTACTCAACTTTGCAGTCAATGGACAGTCGTTACGAATTCGATCTCATTACAACGGTGACCATCACTGGCAAACTCTAGGGATAATACCTAAGAACGCGAATGCAACAAAAAAGTTCACTGTGCCCTAATTTGCCTATGGTAAACCAGAGTGTCAGAGAATTACGCTCTGGTCAATCACTGCACCATCACCACCTTTCTCTCGATAGCGACGTTGAAAAGATTCAATAACTATTTTTTCTCCTAACTAGGACTGGCCCCAGTTATGCTTTAGCCATTCTAGGTCACGATAGAACCGACCACATACAAACACTAAAACGCAGAACTGGATATGTACGAACGAGAGCGGAAATAACGCTGAAACAGAAGAATGGGTGCTAACTTAGTTGGGGGGGGGGGGCACGCGGCGGCGCGGCAGTCTGCTCGCCTGGCATGTTCGGAAATCCGTGGGCCAGGGGGAGTGTAGCCAGTCTAGGGGGGGGGGTGGGGGCAGTCACTTGACATGCGTGAAAAGCTGGAATGTTCGAGTTTACACTGTCTCGCTCGAGAGAGCCCAGGTGAGCAGACTGCCGCGCCGCCGCGTGGCCCCCCCAACTAAGTTAGCACCCATCTGGAAACATTACAGCTTGTACTTTAAGTATCTAATGGACTGTTCATAGTTGGCGATCGTGCGTGCGATTAGGCGATTCGTCTATAGTGGAAAATATACGTATAGATTAGGCGAGTAGGCGAGTAGGTGATTGGGCGATTAGGCGATTAGGCGGTGAGCACTACATACGTATTGATTGATTTGCTCCGCTCTTACCTTAGAGCGTTGTAAGCGAGTAGGCGAGCGATCGTTCAATGGGCGGAGCAACAAATCAATACGTATTCTTCAGTTATCGCGTACTCGCCTACTCGCCTAATCGCCTATTCGCACGTACGATCGCCAACCATGAATTTTCCATAAACTATCAGATCCATCAAATCCAGTCAAAGATGCGATAGAAACATAAGAAATTATAAGCGTGAGAAAAGTGAATTAAAGTAGGTCATAGAAATATTGTAATTCTGGGAATGGGAGGAATCCATAACAAGAATCCTAGGTGAACACAGTTTATGAATCACGCAGACTTAACCAGCGCTTCTCTGCTACGCATTAATATGTACAAAAGCTTGATCCAATTGTGATCCTACAACCGACTTCTAACACCGCCCGCCGTCACAATTCGTTATTGGAATATATCAGAGATGCTTCATGCATTCAAAGACAGATAAAGCGATACACCCTAAAAACGCTCACGCTAATTCAAGATAGCCTGGTTCGATGCGCTCGGGACAATATTCAAACATTATCGGTCATCAGCTCCTGTTTACGGGGCACCAGCTGTTTACTTCGTCATAGACAGGCGAAAGGATATCCCTTGACACATGTGCAAAACATTAGTTTTTATAACTGTACCCTAAACAAACGCTCTACTTTGCATAATTCGTTTTGGCACCACTCAAGTGTATTCATCAATCTCAAAAACATTCAAATTGCCGCAGCAACACGAGGATAAGCAAGGAAATAGGCCATATTTAATGCTGAAGCAAACTCTTCACTTTCCTTATGATTTTCTTTTTCAAATATCCTGGCCGAATATCCACCCTAAACGCTAACTACAATACCGACCTCTATCCTACTTTACACGCCGCATAAACAGCATACCAAACCGCATCGATTGCAAAGGAGCACAGCTCATCGCCGAGATTAACTTATTGTAAGCACCGGCCACTTCATCACCTTCGCTCAACGCAAAGAGCAGGTGTTCAACTTAATAATCGCTATGAGTTTACAATTGACTGTAGAAATTACTATAGGCTACTAACACAGGCCGTTCAACACAGCGCATATCGTAGTGAACCACTCTAGCCTACAAAACTAGTTGGAGACATGAAATACGACAAAAAGTAATTATAGGAAATTGCTCGCATAAATTCGATTGCCCAGTGCAACTATTAGGGCAAAAATATCAGCAGAATAAATGTACGAAAAAGAGACATTTTAACAACCCCGAAGAGGAAACCCTATGAAAAACTTTCGCCAATCAATAAAGCGCATTAAAGCCATTTAAAAAATGCGAATACGAGGCTTTTAAAGCTAAAATCAGCGGAACCGCGAGCAGGTATCGGTAGTATTCCCTTCACATTTGCCCACAGAAACCTTTCACTATCTAGACATCATACAACTGGAAAAGTACTACGAAACCCGAACGCCCCAAACCAGCAATACAACATACATTTGAAACACACCTCGGCATGCAAAGAAAAAAAGCCAGGTAACCCAAATACATGAAAAGCTCACAAACAGGCCCACAGAGCAGACGCTCTGTGTCGATCGATCAATAAACTGCGCCCCGCCCAACCACGAACCGGCTGACCCAAGAACTAACGTCCCATCTCTCGAACCTAGCCGCCGCCCCAACATCCATACGCATCCAGACCGAATGGTTACACTCAACCACACGGAAGCCGCCCTGAATTTACCCCATCACCAATAAGACCCCTCAATAATCCACATTGAGAATATTATCAACAATGATATCTGAGCTTCAATCGTATCCATGTTTGAACACAAATATCATGTTTCTGCCTTTCTCAAAATCTCCAACCCGTGTGAAGAATCAAAACAACAAAAACCAACTAGGCCTTTTCTAGTGAATCTTCTTCTTCTCCCTAGCGTTAGTCCCGCGCAGTCGCAGGGTCCGCTGTCTTTTGTCAGTCGTCGCCA